TGATTTTTTTAAAGGCAAACAGGATCTTAGTTTTATCAGTCAGAAGAGGTTGTGTGAATCATTTATCATGCAATCAATCTTTTCTCATTTACAGGATTGCAGATAATCTTGTTTTCCATTTTAACCCCTATCCAGTATGATTTCTTAGAACTCTCTTATCTAATGGGGAAATTTTTCTTTTTAACTAAGAACAAAGTTAGTTCAAAAGTTTATTATGATTAATCATACTATAAATTGCTTTTTTAGACGCAGGTGATGGATTCTTTTTTTGTAGATGGCACAGACCTCAAACAAAGGAGTTCTGGCTTCTTTATTTGTAAAGCAGGATTTCTAATACAAAAATAGCATTTATTTTCTGATGCAACTTAGGGTCTATCTTATGTAATATCAGGGCTTAACTAATCTTGCCCTTAGCTAGCTATGGTGTACAGAAAAACTGAAATTCTTTTCTCCTTAGCTTAAAACACTCTTCAGCCTCTCAGATAACCATTCTCTTGATTGCCAGTTAGTATGTTCTAGGAATCTAGGCATTTCGGCCAGGTATCCTTTATAACTGGTCGGAGCTGCTACTGGCATTTAGGCATTTCATTTATGGGTGGGGGACAAATGTTTGCTTCCAGTATTACCGTAGCAGGTTGCTGGCACAGCCATAGAGCTGTTTCTGCCTCTTACTTCTACTGTTCTTCTGAAAAAGCTTCTACCTACAGGTAGTCCTCGACTTACAACCACAGTTGCACCCAATTTCCATTGCTAAGCAAGACAGCTATTAAGTGAGTTGTGCTCCATTTTATGATCTTTCTGCCAGTTGTTAAGCAAATCACTTCAGTTGTTAAGTTAAGTATGCAGTCGTTAAGTGACTCTGGTTTCCCCCATTAACTTTGCTTGTTGGAAGTTGACTGGGAAGGTTACAAATGGTGACACATGACCCAGGGACAAAGCAGCTGTCATAAATACATGCCAATTGTCAAAGGCCCAAATTCTGATCACATGACCAGGGGGATAGTGCAACAATCATAACTGTGAAAAACAGTCATAAGTCACTTTTTTCAACATTGTTGTAACTTTAAATGGTCACTAAACGAATGGTTGTAAGTGAAGGACTACCTGCACTTGCATTTCCTGTCTTCTTCTGAATGCTGGCTCTGGTCCCTCAGCAGGAGGACAAACTATGCAATTCCCCATTCCCTCTCTTCAGCACATACCAATGCAATGTTGGCTTGTGTTCCTTTTCTGTCCTTGTGGAATTGTATGTTGATACATTTGTAATCTTTAAAAATATATACATACAAAATTTTAAACATCTATGTTCATATTTCTATTTGTAAAAACATTGCGATGTGTTTTTGTGCATACTATTTTGCAATCACAAGATGTACTGATTTATCTTGTATCTGTCAGATTTGATTTTATAACTTAAAAGGTGTTTTTTTAGTATATGAACCAATTATAAATTACATAGTCCTCTATTATTAAGTACAGTATGTCCCACTAAGTTGAGTGTGACTTACTTTTGGTTGATGTGCATAGAATGACACTATAAATGTCAGTTGGAACTTTTAACCCATTGAAAAATAAGCACTGTTTAAACTAGTTTTAGTATTAAAGCTTAATATTAAATTTAGTATAATTGAAGAGCTAAATTTGTGCATCATTTCTGTTCAATGTAGAAATTAGAAGAGAAAAAGAAATGCTTAGATGAAGAACTAGAAAAGATTTTGCACCAGCATCAAGAGTTAGCTGCTTTGGAGGAAGATTTAAAAAGAAGAGAAGCGATTATTTTAAAGAAGGAAACACTGATGCAGGAGAAAAGCCATTTGGAAATTAAAAAACTCAGATCCAGCCAGGTACTTTTTAATACTGCGATATGCTAGGAATTGAAGTTAGAAATTAGCACTCTGCATTTGCACTCTGTGTCTTCAGTATAAAAATGTTTTAGCAATTTCAAATTAACTTAATGAGAAATATTAGATACATCTACTACTAAATGTTTTGTACATTGTTTTGCTGTTTTTCCCATAATAGCCAATACATGTCAAACCAACATAGAAAATGTATTTTGTTAACACTATTTTCTGTTATCAAAACAGATGATATATTTTAGATTTAGTACAAGCATTACTTCTGCTTTTCTTAGATTGGCTTTGTAGTTGCATGCCTACACTTTTTCTGTTGGGCAAAATAGTAAATTAACTTCTTGCTGTGCTACAATGCAAATGGAATTGCTAAGAAAATGTTTTTTCAAGATGAATGCTGACACTTTAGGTCGGGGTGTCAAACTGCCGGCCCACGGGGCAGATGAGTCATGACAAAACCGCGTCCACCCCATTGCTGGCAATGGGGAAAAAGTTCCGATACGTTGCGCGACATCACGTGACATCGCGAGTTTGATATGTCTGCTTCTTGTCCATTGACAAGAACTCTCAACTTGTTTCATCTCCTTAGTTCTGCACTTTTCCCCATATCTGTAATGTTAAACTGCTAAGACACATGCTTCCCTTTTACTTATCTTTTAAATTGAACAGAAGCTCAGGCATGGCATGGTAAATGTTCTTACCAGATGACCAGTTAAAATTGAAATCACAAAAAAGCTAAAGTATGGTGAAATCATTAGTTATGATTTCAGAGAAACAAAATCTGGCCAAACACTATCTGCTTCTACCCTACATTATGTTCATTGTACATAGTATTAGTTTAGTCATGGAGGAATGAAGATATCCTAAGTTTTTAAAGAGTTTGTTTCCAGTAGAATATATTATATGAAGATTTATGCCATATTAAACGGGATAGCCTTTGAAGTGCCACATCTCTCTTCAAAATTATTGTTCTTAAAGGGATTGTATCTTTATTTGTGATTTCACAGGCTCTCAATGAAGATAGTTTGAAATTATCTACCCGTCTAAGTATGTTAGATCAAGAACTTTGTGACAAAAATAAGCAGCTTCAGAGGAGTGCCACTGATGAACAAGGGAAGATTTTTGAAGAGGTTCAGGCTTTGCAAAAAGAAAGGGATCAGCTGTTGAAAAGAAGAAATAGTGTGGATGAGAAATTAAAGAATGGCAGAGTGTTATCACCAGAAGTGAGTCATTATCTATTTGATAACTATTAGCTGCTAATAGAAAAATCCAAATGCAATCAAATTAGTAAGTAAACTGTTAATATGTAAAAAAAAATTTTTTTTTAAAGAATCATAGTATTTTGTTAAATTTTTTCAGAAGAAATTGAACAGTGAAAAGTACTTCCAGGAAAGGTGCCCTCTTCTTCCATTTTCTGTGTTTGTCTATTTTCTTCTCTGCTTCTAAAAAGCAGCAGCCCCTATAAGTTAAGCTAAGGAATACGGTTTCATTAAACAAAGAGATAAGGGAAAGTTGTGAAAGATCATGTGATTATAGAACTATGGAGTGCCAAATGGGACTAAAAAGTTAAGGATATTGAGAAAGAGGTAAAACCCCTCACCTTTATTTTTTACTTTCTTTTTCTGGTTTATAACTTTAAAAAAAAGGAAATGTCTACTACTAAAAAAGTAGCAAAAATCACAAAAAGCCACAGAAGGAGATTTGGAGAACAATATTTTAAAATAGTAGAATAAATAAATAAAAAAAATATGTCTCATTTTGAAATATTTTAGTTTGCATACTTAATTCTATTATAGACAAAAGAGACTTTTTTCAAGCACAATAAATGAGAAATTTGAGAATTGGCTCCTTTTCTATAGATACTTACATACTGTTTCTGTTTTCTCTAAGAAGCATATGATAGGCTTTTGAAGAACCCATGAGTTCTTCAAAATAGTTTGAAAGTCATATAACTATAATATTGTATTACAGTATGTTCATAATCACAGGAATTATGTGATGAATTATTATCATTAATAGCCTTCAGATTTATTGTAATACATTTGACATTACTGCTTTGTTTCTTCTTAGGAAGAGCATGTTTTATTCCAGCTTGAGGAAGGAATTGAAACCTTGGAAGCAGCCATTGCTTATAAGAACGAAAGTATACAAAACCATCAAAACTCAATCAGAGTCTCCTCACAGATTCTTACACAAAGTGAAGCCAGTGTGATGGGAAAGTTGGTATCATTGTCCACAACTGAACTGCGTGCAATTCTTTTAAAGTATTTTAACAAGGTTTGTCAGAATAGTATTCAGCAATGAAGATTCTGCCTGTTCTTTTTATTGGTTATAAAATGCCACCTCATGTACTTCTGATAAGTTGTGTAAAAATACAATTTGTATAAAAATACACAATACAAAAACTGATTGTTTTTGGATTTTTGCACTAGACACAGAGAGGATTTTTTCCAACATTTACATTTTAATATTCTCTGAATTTAAATTATAATAAAAAAGTAGCCATTCTGTCTGAGTGCATATATATAAATCATCTAAAAATATTTTCTTTCTAGTAATTATGTGTTATAACTCTTGAGAGCAGTGAAACCTCTGATGTTGTTATGAATGTATGTTTCTTAGCATATTTGAATTAGATGATTTTATTAACAATTCTGTTCAAGCTTGCAAACTGCTGTTTTTTTAATTATTCTAAGCAACAATGCATTAAATTTCTATTCAAACAGACTTGTACAAAGAAAATGCTACTTATTTTTAGGTTGTTCGACTCCGTGAGAGTGAACGTAAATTGCAACTGCAGTCTGAAGAACTGAGAATGAGGGCAATGGAACAAGAAAATATAATAAGAGAACTTGAATTGGCACTTGAACATCTCATGCTGCAATGCGACAGGCGCCTCACCCTTCAACAGAAAGAACATGAACAAAAGATTCAGTTGATACTACTTCACTGTAAAGGTATTGGATCTTACGTCTGGATAGGTAAAGTGGGAAATAGATCTCATCCAATAGGACAAGATGTTTATTAGAACCACTCAAAAAGAATGAAAATTTGGTCTTATAAATCTGAATTTTTCTATATGTATCACAGAGCTATGTTTGCTCCTTACATTTGAAATATCAAAATTAATTTTAAATGTATACTTACCATTTCCATACTCCCATCTAATGCATGATGTTCATTAGAGTCAATCTATAAGATTAAATAGTTGAACATTAATATAAAATATAAAATCTTAAATATACTGCCACAGCTTACCCACAAATTACAATTTAAAGCAATAAAGACAAAGAGTTACGAGATACATTATAATAGCTCGTTTTAAAATTCAGTTGTAATAAACTGAGGTAAACATGCTTTGATTATTCAAATTCTTTTAACATATTCCATACACAACTAGCCATAAGAAGTCAAGATTCATTTCTTTCTTTTTCTGTGAACAGAAATTGATTTATTGGATGATAGAACTGATAAAAAGGGGAAAGATACTTGTTTCAAAGTCCATTTCTCCCAGTCTCATGTCAAAGTTATTCATAGGATCAGCATACCTTCGGTAGCAGAGTCAGAATTAAGACTACAGGGGCAAAGGGAAATTTTTTGAAGATCTCCTTTACCAAGGAACAGGATCTTGGTATCCACAATTTATAGAGGAACATACAGGTAGTCTTTGACTTATAACCACAATTGGGACTGGAGTTTTGATTGCTAAGCAATGTGGTCAACATGTAATTGGACCCAATTTTATGACCATTTTACCTCAGTCATTAAGTGAATCACTTGGTTAAGTGAATCATGCAGTTGTTAAGCAAGTCTGGCTTCCCTCATTGACTTTGCTTGTTGGAATGCAGATGAGAAGGTCGCAAATTGTGACCATAAGAATTGCAACTGTCGTAAATGTAAGTCAGTTGTTAGGCACCTAAATTATGATCAGTGACTATGGGGGAGATGCGATGGTCATAACTTTGAGAATGGGTCATAAGTCACTTTTTTAGCACCATAGTAACTTTGAAGCATCATTAAATGAATGGTTTTAAGTCAAGTTCTATCTGTATCTGGGTACAATACCCTCAGGTTCATCAAGAAGTGCCTCTTCCAATTTGATCTCCTTATTGTTTAAAGAAGTAATTTTCAAACTTGTTAATGGCTGTCTTTCTGTCAGTAAATTATTACTTTATGATAGGTGCAATTTTCTGCTTTCTTAAAACATTGATGACTATACATTTTCTAATTCTCACCAGTAAACTACTTTTTGTTAGGTGCTTCAATTATGTGTTGTTTTCTTATTCATGGTTATTCATTTTTTCTATGAGTCCAAAATCATAGGGGTTCTTTTAAATATTTAAATACATATATTATTTTTCACAAAGTTGAAGACAAGATGCGAAATAAATTTGTAACTTTGTTCATTGTAATAAAATGGAACATAGTAAAACAAATGTCCTTCTTTTTTCAGACCAAGAAGGTGAAAATACTGCAGAAACTATTAAAGCCTATGAAGTTAAAGTTCAGCAGTTGGAACGAGATTTGTTTTTTTATAAGAAAACTAGCCGAGAGTTAAAGAAGAAATTAAAGGATCCTGTTGGGGAATCAACGCATCACTCTTTAAAACAAACTAAATGTATGAATATTAGAGCTAAAATCCTAACATAGCTAAAACTTAGTAATAATTCACATTAAGAGAAATGTTCCCATAAAGATCTATCTATCAATCTATTATCTATTGATCCATCTATCCATTTATCAAATTTAAGTGCCATCTATTTCATTCTGAGTGGGATTAGATTGCAATGTTATATTTGTAGATACAGACATTTGTTTTATTTATAATAAATATATTGTATACTTCCTTTTAAGGCAAAAGTTAAATTTTAGTTTTCAGATAACAATCCAAGATTTTATATAAGAGATTTTTAATTTTTGCAAACGCAGTCTGGTTTTGATTTTAAATTCCCACTAATGAGTATCCTTTGGAGACACAGAGGTACTGGCAGCATAGCAGGGATAATATCTGAAAACCGAATGTCGTCTGACTTCCTCTGACACACATACACATAATGAACACATTCCATTTCCACTAATGAAAGCGTCAGGTTTAGAAAGGTTTAGAGTCCTTTCCATAAATGAAAGGGTAATGCAAGATCCAAATGACCATATTCTTCTTTATTAACTTTTAATTGCACAATAAAGTTATTTAACAATAACAGTGAATAGTTGAATCAACTAAAATTTGTAACCTTAACAAACTGTAATATTTATCTTGAAGCATTTAAGTTAATTGTTGCTTTGAATATTCCATTTTAGGTTATGCTTCTAATGAGGGGATGCTAAATCAAGAAGAAACAAGTATTTCTTTAGAAGAACACGGACAGAGACTCCAAACTGTAGAGAAATCAAAAGAAATAAACTGCACTGTAGGTGATATAGGAACACAGCAGACTTCAACCAAGATACTTGAAGAGGAAGCTGTAGAAGCAGTACTCTCTATCTCTAATAATTGTGAGGAGCCAACAGGGAAAGTACATTTCACAAAATCTCATTCACAAGCATTTAGTCACTCACAGACAGGCAACCCAGTGACCCAATTTCAAGGACTAACTCCAGTAAAATTTTCCCGTAAAGAATTACGCCATATCCCAGCTGCTGAGCTTTCATCAAGACGAGCTACTATAAATTCGGTTGCTGCAGATTCCATTGAAATGTCTAGAAAATCTCATGACCATACTATGTAATTCAGATGACAATTCAGAAAGTAATTTTGCAATTTCTTATTTTTCCACATTATTTCAGGAAGTTATGATGTTTGTATAAATTATTGTTAGCAGTTATTCTTCACCTTGGTCTTTCATTTTGCTTTAAAAAACCTAATTCCTTTTTGGCATTGGTATGGTAGTATATAAAAGGGAATAATAATTTTGTCTTTAAAGAATCTTTTTACTTACATTTTTATTAATACATTTCTTTGTTCTTTTAGTACTGTGCAGCATTATACTGTTCTGCATAACACAGAGAATTGGTTCACACAATCCTGGTAGTATACTAATGAGAACAAAGAAAGCATAAATAAAAAAGTATTCAATACCTTCCATGATTATGAAAAAAGGCCCATGGTGCAGAAAGAGCTATCATTTTATATGTAATTGATAATTTTTAGATAAATCAATTGCCCTGATAACCATATAGATATGGACAGCATACAATGAAATAGAAATATCCTTTAAAAACTATTTTTCTAAGATATTAAGTAGTTAGAAGGAAAAAAGGAAAATCCCTCATTGCTAAAACTTACATTTAAAATAAATACATGCTTGCATTTCAAATGCAAAATTTATTAATAACTTACTTGGCTATAAAATCATATTTGAATTAGGCCTAGAACTGTTACCAGTATAATTTTTATACCATTTTCCAAGTAAATGTTTTTATTCTTATAATCAACATTAAATCTGTTTCAGTGATTGTTTATACAAACAGGGATGAACTCAGTCAAATGAATTTAAGTGTAATAAAAAATATTTTGCTATGTCAGAGAATATCTGTACATCCCAGTGTTTAACCCTACATGAAGTTAAACCTACTAATAAAAATAAAGCCAGAGACTGGCTGAGTCACTCTTCTAGGAATAGAAGTTATTCCTATCCAATAAAAGCTCCTGCAGGTGAAAGGGGCAGAGGTAAATGTTGCTTTCCTTTTATCTCTGGAGAGATTTTATAGAATATAACAGATTTTTCAGACATCTTTCTACCAAGAACTATATTTGTTTTGTATGGTACATTTGTGTATAAGTAGTTTCACAACCAAAAATACAGATTATCTCTGAAATGCAATTTTAGAAGCATTAAATACTATTTTAAAGTTGAAATCATCTGAAAAAGGTAATTGCTTGATTGGTTCAATTCAGAGCATGTGGGAATGGTGTTTTGGTAAGGCTTGGAGACTGCTTTGGTTTCTCCTATTAGCAGTAGTGTTTAAGCTTGGGAATTTTTATCTAGGCTATTATTTTATCCAAACTGAGATTTAGCCTTCAGAAACCAAAAATATAAGCAGAATTATTAAGAGAGGAACACCCTAAGATAGACATGTCAAACACAAGGCCCCGGGGCCGGATGCGGCCCGCAAAGTGGTTTCATGTGGCCCACGACGCCATCCTGGAAACAGTGAGGGAACAGCCCCCGCTGCCTTGACCCTGGCCCAGGCCGGCCGGGAGCCAATGTACAATTTTGTGGTGGCCATCTATGCTGAAATGCATTCAGTCTTAGCTCCGCAAGGCTGTCTGGAAACAGTGAGGAACCAGCCCCTGCCACGTCGGCCCCACCCCCTGGGTGCATGTTGCGGAAGTGTCACCCTTTATGAGGAATGAAGAAATGCATCATCGCCTGGAAGTGGCCAGCAAATGGCCCTCACCTACTTCACAGGGCAGAGCCCTGGTACCACCCCTTTCTGCCAGAGACCCTCAGATCTGTGCCACTTCTGCCCAGGCCCCCACAGGCACCCTTGATGCAAATGATGTAGAGCTGGCCATGCCCACCCAGTAGGCCACACCCATTCAATCCACGTCCACCCAGTAGCTGCACCCACCTGGCCCCCCCCCCGAGGACAACTGCAATGCTGATGCAGCCCTCAATGAAATTGAGTTTGACACCCTGCCCTTTTTATCTCCTTGGATAAAAAGTTAAGAAATGATGGATAGCAATTCTGTGTTTTAGTTATTTCCACAAAAAAAGAAACAAAGTAAAAATGCTAGAGTACAATGCACCAGCATATTTGCTCAAACCAGATCAATGTATTAGAACTGAGTTGAAATAACTTGATAGTGGTGATATTTTTAGCTGTATTTCTCCTATTTATTTTTTTAGTTTTGTTGATTGTTTTTGCATATGATCTGAGATTGAAATCTTTTAAAGTTAGTGATACATTTTATATTTAGAAACTTGTAAACCCGAATACTTTGCTAAATGTGAGGTTGTAATGTTTCTTTTATTCAACAACACTGGAATAAGTAATGACTGAAATGAGAAATACTGTGTGGCCAGAATTTTATGGGAAAGGCTATATATAGCCACTATTTTCATTGCTTTTCTTGATGTACACACACACACACACACATACACCATGCTTTGGTCCTCACTAATGGAAAACTAGTCAATAACACCCTTGCCCGGATGAATATACTTGTCGAGAGTTTTAAATAAGTATAAGGGTAATATTTTCCAGGCATCAGTTTTGTTTACTAAAAGCAGTATGTACTTTGGCACCTAGAAACTGCAGCGATATTGTTTTTTAACCTGTTTCCTATTCTAGTGACTGTCTGCAGATGGATCCTATCCATGTTTATCGGAGAAGCTCATTGAACTCAATGGTGATTCCCAAATAAAAATAAGCATGATTTCAGTCTTAATATTTTAAGAAGTGAGAAAAAAATCAATTACCTTAGCAATAGGAATTATTTTGTGTGCAGTGGCAAGATCTAGACTCACTTTTCATTAGATTCATTTGATGATTGAATTTTTTAATCATACTATCATAATGTCTGCTATGTAGAAATATAAGCATGAGAACACTCATATACAAAAGTAATTCACATATATAATACCATTTCTTTTTTCATTCATTCAACTTATATGGCTGCCCAACTCATAATTGCAACTCTGGATAATTAACATGAGTTTAAAATTAATATAAGACAAGGCCAAATAAGTATAAATAAAAAACGTGATACATCCAAGCCCAGCCTACAATCATTCTGTACCAAACTATTATAGGCCAGCTTATCCACCAGGTGAAGCTATCAATGTGCTTACCTAATGTCTAGAGGTTGTTTGGGTCTAGATGGGCAGAACAGATTTCAGCTCAGGTACTGACAAGACTGAGTGGATGTAGCTGTTTGCCTGACCTCCAGACTTGAGTATGTTTCCATAGTTGGCTTTGGATGGGGTAGCAGTTCCCTATTCTACGACTTGGGGGTCCTCCTGTACTCATAGTCACTTCTCAAAAAGCAGGTGGCAGTTATGATGAGGAAGGTACTTCCACAGGTTCATCTTCTGCACCAGTGGTAGCTCTTCAGCCCTGGTCACTTATAATTGGACTATTGTAAGACATTCTAATTTAAGATGCCCTTGAAGACCTTGCAAAAACTACATCTGGTATAAAATGTATTTATCATCAAACAAATATATATAACCACCCAACTCACACACAGTGACTCTAGGTAGTATTCAACATTTAAAGTTCATGGTTAAAAATTCAGTTTAACTTCTCAACTCCCACCCATAATGCAATGCAGTTGCATGCACAGCATTGGGTGCCTCATGGTACGCCCATGTGCCATCATTACTGTGGGAGCTACATTGGTTGGCAATTGGCTTCCGGGTGCAATTCAAAGTGCTAGTCGTAACCTATAAAGAACTTTACTGTACAGACCCTGGTTATCTGAAGGACCACCTGTCTCCAACTGTTGCTGCCCACCAGATACATTAGGACATAGTGAAATGTCTATGGAGATTCTCAGTCATCCAGGTCATGGTTGTCCCAAAGGTGCTTTTTCACGAGGCAACTGGACTTTCTTTTTTCTCTTTGAAGACGTCTTGCTTCTCATCCAAGAAGCTTCTTCAGTTCTGACTGAAGTGAGTATCCACCAGACCCTCTCAATTAAATACTGCTACTTGGCAGGACCAAGGAAATCTGCCTTCTCCGCCAGGGCTCCTGCCCTCTGGAACAGCTTCCTCCAGAGATAAGGAGGGCGCCCTCTCTCTTAGGCTTCTGACCGGGTTTTGGTTTGACATCTTGGTTTGATGTGTTTGTGGTTTGCTTTATTTGAGTCTAGGCTGCCTGCGGGGCTGTATGTTTCGAACTGCTTTTCTTTTGTATGCCTCTCTCAGTCTATGGGAGTGCGCAGTTCCAAGAAATTTAAACACGTGTACACAATGAGGTTCCCTAAATTGATGCTATGCTACAAACAAGAGAGGTGTTAACTCAAGCTTGCAGAAGGTTCCTACGGAAAAGTTGTTTTATTATTATTTTTCTATCAACTATTTCATTGATGCATTTTATGTAAAGCTACGAAATAAAAAAAGCGACAGATTATAACGGTGCTATACATTTCCCAGCAGCAAACTTCTTGATAGGCTTGAAGTCATTTACCTTCAGGACTGCCATCTCCTCCCACCAGTATAACAGCACCCCGCGGGCCAATTAGGCACATCGAGCAATCCGACCGGCCGACTCACCCCGGCCGGTAATACGGACCGAGGTGAGCAACGCAAGATTTCAGCTGCTCGACGTGACCATACGAAGAACTTGGAAGTATTCCGGTCCTTTATTTGTTCCAGTTTTCTCACCTGCTTTTGCTATATATGTAAATGTGGATTTGGGAACCAAAGCCCAAGAGACACGGATTGCCTCAGGCAGTATTGCATCTCGTCCACCCCGCTGTCTCACTCGTCCCGCCAGCCGCCACAAATCCAGCGGCGGGGTCTCCTCGTGGTCTCGTTACGTCACAAACGGACTTGGTTGCGCATGCGTCAGCTGCCCTCTGCGTTACTCTACCAGCCGGGCGACTCGAGACGTAAACAAAACTCTGCGAGCTAGCGCTCGAGCGAAGCACGTCCGCGCGCGCCCGCCTGCAAAGCCCTCTCGCTTCTCGTCCGTTTTCGCGCGCCCCCTTTGCCCCTTCCTGCTGCCGCCGCCGCCGCCCGCCGTCTCCGCGAGCTCTCTGGCGCCCACAACGTCCGAGCCGTTTTTCCCGACGCCGGCAACTGCCCGCTAGCCTGCAGGGAAGCCGCCACCGTCGCCCCGTCTGTTCACCCGAGAGCGGCTTTGGGGATCAGAAAAGCGGGTGAGGGCTCTTCTCGCCTTTACCGCTTCTATATGGAGTCCCTCGAAAAGCCCCGAAAAAGCAAGAAATGCCTGCGCCGCGCCCCCCCCCCGCCCTCCTCCGCGTCGGTCTCGGGGAAGGGGACGCGAAAGGTTGGGCTGGCGCAGATCCCGGCGTGGGGGGGGGAGGCGAGGACGCCCAGGGCTCGCTGGTGTAGCTGTAAGTCGGCCTGGCTCTGGTCTTGGAAATGACCCCGGTCCTGGAGCACACGAGCCCCGCTAATTCAGAAGGAAAAGCGTCGCCTTTTACTTTCACAACTAAGATTGAAACTGAGCAAAGGCTCTCTAGAAAGGCAGCAATACAGGAGCCACAGTTGATTACTAGCAAAACTCACGGGGCTAAAGCTTGATGATAGCCAGGCCATCTTCCCGAAGACAGGAGGGGGAAAAAAAAGGCCCAATTTTGTTGATTTGACCAAGCGGAGCTTTCAGAAGTATTACTTGGAGTAAATGCTGAGGGCATTCTCTAATGTTCGAGTTTGGGGCTCTTCACCTTCATTTTTATGGAAGGGGAAGGGATGGTCTTGTCTCCACTTTTTGCACCTAATCATTTCCCAAAGTGTTGCCTTTAGCCTTTATTTATCTTATTCCTAGCCTAGGTGTGAAATGAGTTTAAATCAGCTATGATATCAGTGGTTAGAAGAGCATTTGCCTCAAATTACGAAACCATCTACTTGCAGTACAATAGCTAGGAGTATAAAATTCGTTTTTGTTCCCTATTACCTCGAAGGAAGAAAGAGGCATGAGCAATGGGGCATCCAATTTCATGATGGTATAATTTTCTGCTGACCAAGAATAGGCTGATAGCTCTTGGCACTTATTCTCTTACAGCACAACTTCAAGTATTATTTTGAACTGGATTCTCTATGCCCTCCTGTCTAAATAGTAAATATCCGCTCAAAGCTTTTGGTGAAGACAATGTGTTTTATTTCAAATGCAATAACAAAAGGATTATTTTAATTGGATACTTCCTAGTAATAATATAACATACCCTGTTATATAATTAAAAAAAGGATTTTAGCTTTGGTGGTCTATTTGAACAATAAAATACATTCCCATTACTTCATTTTGCAAAATTTTTGGAAGACTTTTTCCAATTCAATCCATGGGTTTTAAAATATGTAGATGTGTATGTTTAATGCTCATGTTATTTATGTAAATTGTTTAACAATATTTCCTGACAAAAATTACATAAATACCATAGAAGATGAAAGAAGTTTTTTCTTTTAAGAAAAATATTAAACAAATAATTTGTTTTGAAAAAAAATTGAAAGCAAAAATAGTAAATGTTTTGTAGACATTCCTGGAGACAAAAAATAACACCTGGTTTGAGCCATAAATATAAAGTAGCTTATTAAATGGCAGCATCTGAAATACAGTATCTGAAAAATTGGGGAATATCATCCTTTTTTCAAAGATCAAGGATACAGAAATAATGTGTTACTTGTTTTCACCAGAAAGTAGAGAAATCATCTATGTCTTATTTATATTTTTATAAAACAATACGGAACTTCTCTTAGATTCAGATACCAAAAATTTAGTATAAACCATATTTTTATTAGATATTTCTGTGATTGCCAAACTAATATATCTTTCTAATTTAAATCCTTAAAGCATCAACATAATATTTCCAGATAACTCATTCTATATTCTTATGCAAGTCACTGGAAACAATCCACAAAGACTCTTTTACAGTTCTCACTAAGAATAAAGTGAAAGCAGCTACTCTCCCAGTAATTGTTCATCATCTAAATGAGTGCCAGGTTTGGAGAAGTAGCATTGCTATGTTTGCATTATGGCTTAATATTTTAAGAAGAGAGGGCTGCATATACTGTCTCGAGTACCTAACCATAAAGGCAGGGTAAAAAAAATCTTAACAATAAAATGTCAGGAAATACGCATCACTTCATGAATCTTTGCTTTATATTTCCCAAGAATTATTTTGAGGTTTCATTTTGACTTTTAAGTATTTTTATTTTTATTTTATGTATTTTTTTTCTTAGAAAAATTCCTACCATTTAGACAAGCTTCCTACAATTGTTTTTGAAAAAAATTACTTCTGGTCATATTAATTATAAAAATATTTGCAGTTAGCAAAATAATTTTTTTTTCAAACTTGACAACTGTAAAATATGGGGACTTCAACTTGCAGAATTCCTCAGCATTCTGAAAATTTTAGGAGTTGAAGTTCCCACATCTTACAGTTGCCAAATTTGAAAAACACTGATTTAGGACCTTCCAGGATAACAGTTATTGTAGGTAATACAACTACCCTTATTGAAAAATTATTTTCCTGTATGTGGGGCAAATTAAGATTGAAATGTACTGTTAGGGTTTTTTGATTGTGCTTTCTATATCTGGTCAAACTAGATATGATTGTCATTCCATTTATGCTGAGCTACAAGGAGTCCATAATTTCCTATTATATTCTTGTTGTTCCAGGAAATACTGTGATTTGGAGGTCTGCTTTCAGACGTTTGCAGAACTAGAATGGCTTCCGCTGTAATTAGTTCAGTTCCTACAACTGCATCTAGATTTGCTCTTTTGCAAGTTGATAGTGGCAGTGGCTCTGATTCAGAATCTGGAAAGGGAAGAAGTAATCAGAGTGGTGGAAAGACTCAAACTTCAGGCAACAAGTCAACTATAAATGAAAAGAAAAAGGAAAAGAGGAGGAAAAAGAAGGAGCAGCAGCAGAGTGAAGCAAATGAGGTTAAGTGTGGGTTAAATTGGAAAAAAAACTAAATGACCTTAATAAGAGAAATAAATCACCATACAGTTAAACTGCGAAAATGGTTTCAGCGAATAATTCTTTCATATGAAAATAGCTCATTCTTTTTTTTTTTTTAGCTCAGAAATCTTGCTTTTAAAAAAATTCCTCCAAAAGCTTCCCATGGAGCCTGCTTCTCTCTGCATGAGCAAGCTTTCAACCATACAGGAAGAAAAGACTCCCAAGAAGAGGATTGGCAACAGTGGAGACAACGAGATGAGCAGGTACTTCAGTATTTTATTTTTCAGTATATTACTGTCAAATTCTAGCATTCCCTCCTTCCTTATTTCGCCATAGCTACAACTTTAAGCAGTTTGGGCTGAAGTGAGAGTAACCAAAGTTACCTTGTATGGTTCTGTGATTGAACGTAGACTTGAACTCATGGCTCTCCAATGCCAACCTAGCATTATACTCACTATATAACATTGGCTCTTACTTGTGCTTCTTAGATCTTCTGGCAAGCAAGTGGATATAAAACTGAAGCTCAAGGTTTGGATATACCTGAAATTAAGCCCTATGAATATAATTCTGAGGACGCATGCATAGAATTAGGATGCAATTGATTGCAGTCTTGAACAAATTTATTTAGAGATACCCAAACTTTTCAGCTCATCAAACTCTTTATTCAGTTTAAGGTTGTTTATTAACTCCCAAACTTTAATTATATGAAAAAAAATTACTTTAGTATTATGAATAACAATACCAACTATAATAGATTTATAAAAATAATATTTGAAATATGAAAAATAAAAGATTTAACATACCATTTTTTTACTGTAACTTGATATCATTAATGGGAAGAATGACCGTCAAAATGGACGCTGATATTTAGTTGGAGATGGTGAATTTTAGTCATAAATCACCACACTTTCAAGTTCAATCTGTTCCTATTGTTACCCATTTATTGACCTCCTTTTGACCCTCAACTATATCACTTTAGAGAACTCTGATTTATAGCAAAGTCTTCCTTAATTCAGAATTTGTGTTACTGTAACTTTGTGTTACTTTTTGAATTTGGAAGGGTTCAACATCAATAACTGTAACACCATTGCCTTTACTATTCTCTACAAAATCTTACTAAAGATGTCAATGATGAGAAAAATATTTTGTAGATCCAGCACACATGATATTTATACACATGCTACTATGTATATTTACTTCACAGAAGCAAGATTTTACCAATGTTATCCTGGTCTTGACTTAATTTCACTTAAGGAATCCAGTAAAGGACAGTGAAAAATAGTCTGAGTCCACTTCATCAAAGAATAGTTTTAAATTAAAGTGTATGTATACTTAAATAAATGGTTTCTCACAACATCTGCTTTTTTGCCTTGTTTTATCAGCTGACTTCTGAAATGTTTGAAGCAGACCTTGAAAAAGCTTTACTTTTAAGCAAACTGGAATATGAAGAACACAGAAAGGTATTTCTTACTTTCATTAAGATTAAAGCATAATAAATATCCATTCCGGATCCTGGCTCTACCATAATATCAATTATTTTTTTAATGTACAAAAGTGTTGAGAGGCTTAAAAATATTTAAATATTGGGTCAGGAAAGAAAGCTTCAGTTCATTATATCATTTACTTAAAATGTGTTCTCAAATCTTGTCTGAACAACCAAAAATAAGAACAAGAGATATGACTTTGTTTGTCTTCCATTAAAAAAAGAAACATTTTTAAATTTCTTCCTTCATATAGGTAGTCATCAAATTACGACCACTCGTTCAGTGACCATTTAGAACAGTGTTTCTCAACCTTGACAATTTTAAGGCATGTGGACTTCAACTCCCAGAATTCCACAGCCAGCAATGCTGGCTGTGGAATTTTGGGAGTTGAAG